AAATGTTCATCTGTCGTGTGGTTGAACTTTACCTTTTGCACATGTCCGGATTTATATAGAGCGTAACCTTCACGCTTGCTTTTGAAAGCACCTCGGCGAACTTTCTTCGAGTTACTTTCCATTTCTCCGGCTAAATGAGCAAACAAATAACAATGCTGAAACGGAGGCATTTGTTCCAAGGATAATGTCCAACCATCGCTGGGCCATGTAGCTCTCATGGGAAGATTATCGCTGGTTTGTTGTGACCGCAGCTCGCGCTCAAGTCGAAGTCTGCGAAGATGTATCCCTCCATCTGGATCGACGATTTTCTTGTCCTGGCCTGATACTTGATAATCCTTTATTCTATTAAAGTCAAAGACACAGCTGGGCCCTTAGAAAATCGCTTTAATTCTTAAAATACTGACAGAAAAATACTGACAGAACTACAAACCTTGTAAGTAATTCTCTTCGACTCCCACCCACACTAGCACCTCGACACTTTAACCAACGTTTAAGTTGTTCATTATGAAAGATTTGAGGATCCTTATTTTTGAACGATGCCCCTGGGACATCGTCCTCAGTCAAAACAATTTTCTTCTTGAAATTTTCGGACTTTGAGTGGCCTTGAATGTCCTTGTTTTCATGACTTTTCGCATCAGTTGCCGCCATTTTTGTTTAAGCTTTCGCGGTCTTTACTACTATAACCATAGTGCACAGCGCGCGTGACGTCATCATGCAAATGGCCTATTCCAATGGCAATCAGTTTGGCGTCGAAGATGTTTGGTTCCGGACTTCAAGTTGATAGAGCACAATCAAGAAATACAAGAAATGTCTATGTTCCACCCCCGCCAACACAAACACATGGTAAAGGACACTATCCGTATTTTCCGCCGCCTTTTTATGGAAGTTGGAAAAATCCAAGTGGAATGGGGGTAAAAAAAAATATCCTCAAAAAGGGGAAAAGGTCTTCTCTTAAGAAAAAACAGTCCGTTCAATCAGATTCCAATTAAAGGCTCAATTTTGTAAACAAACCACGATCTAATTTTGATTTGTTTGATTGGGTAAAAAAACTTGGAATTAAATATTTTAGAGACATCTTTAGCAGGAATGTCTTGCGTGAAAAGATTGGAAAAGAGTGTGGAATAATCAATCTCGGTGATATTCAAGGAGCTGGAACACATTGGGTTTGTTATGGGAACCTAAGAAAAGATTTAGTTGAATACTTTGACCCGTTTGGTTTGATTATGCCCCACGAAATTTATCACTATCTTATCACTTCTGAAAAAAAGATAATTTACTCTCAGGACGAAATACAAAACAGAAACATGGTTCTTTGCGGGTTACTGGTGTTTGTATTATTTGAACGAAAGACAAAAAGGAAAAGGCATTTTTGGACGTAATTCATATATAATCAAAAATTTGATGAAGATAATAGTGATTTCATAAAGGAATATTTTTCCTCCGGCCAATACGCCGATTAGGAACATTCGCACTTTGTAACAAATGAAAAATAAAACTTTTTTTTTTTAATCCTCTAAAACATTTCGCGCTTTGTAATAAATGAAAAATGAAAATAACCCTAATAATTTTATAACAACATTTTGTTATAAAATCCACTTTTTATTTTAAGATTTAAACTGATTTTCTCCGTTATTTCCATCTTTCAACTGTTTAATTTTCTCAACTTTGTTATTTAAACTTTCAACGGTCTTCACAAGATCTTGAAAGCTTGAATAAATTCCAATTATCTTAAATAATCTTGCCTTTTCATCTTCTGGCCGCTGAAGCCAACTGTAAGACCCTGATTCTAATTTTTTCCCTTAATGGAGATTCGCCCACAAGTAAAATACGTGCAAGATACTCATTTTTCTTTCTTTCAACTTCAAGCTCATGATTTATCTTAGGCCGAATTTCTTTCTCAAAATCTTTTTATATCAAGCCATTTTTTCGGCAAGAACGAAGCTGAAAACCTTGCATTGCGTGACCAAGAGCTCTGCGTGGCGGCGCACTTGTTTGCTGAGGAGATAAACACAGAGTCGGATTTGGTTGGAGAAAATTTGGCCACCAAACGTGACGAACTTTATTTTCAAGATCTGCCAATATATAATAAACTAAATATCTCTTCAGCAAAGGTGTGGGGAAAAACCGCCACCCACTAAGACAAGAAAGAGAAACACACTAGAAATGAATTCGCAGGCAGGCGGAAGGGGAGGAGGTGGAAAATGCTGAAAATTGGTTCAAACCAGCGATGTGAACAACGTGATGGTGAGCGATCGAAAGGGGGCGAGCACATGGAAAGGCGCCCCTAAGAATGATATAGTCCGGAACGCCCTAAATTCTGATTGGCTGGAAATAAGATAGGCTTGGAACCTGCCGCCTTGGCCTGCAAACCATTATTAAATGCCTTGCCATAAAATCCCATTATGATGTCGTCATAACGGTGTCTTTTAATGTTCTAACATCCATTTTTTTCTCTATCTCCTTAAAAAAAGGATAAGATAATTTCCTTTTATAGCTTGTTTAAAAAAAGGTGCTTCTTCATTTATGTCAGAATGAGATAGGCCGTTATTAGCATTAGCTAGGGAAAAGTGAATTTTATTATTCAGACAAAAAATCTGAAGGGAGAATCAAGCAAGTCAGCCACGAAAACCGCTAAAGTAAAGCAATTCAGGTGGCTCGTGATGTCGCTTCACTAGCTTTATAACCGCGCTGTAAGTACTGCAATCTTGCTTTTATGCACCGTGTATTGGATATTTTGGCTCTGTTTGTTGTTTTGTTTCCCATTTTTTCTGTATGAATCTAGATGCTGTCGTTTTTCAATGAATTTTCCCTCGCTAGTTTTCTACTTATCAGAAATGGTTGTTGTCAATGATTGCGCAATTTATCTTTCAATCTTGCAAACAACACGAATCACTTTTTCAGCAGTCCTTTATCGCAGTTTCATTTCTTTGTTTATAACTTGTTACTCATATCGCGTTCTTTTATTCGAATTCAATTCAAAACCTTAAAATTGGTATGTATAATTAGCTCCTTTGTGCAGTTTTCATCCCGCTCGATTGAAGACCTCATTGAACTAATTGTATTAAAGCAATTTTTGAATTATTCAGTTTATTCAATCCTTGCTATATTTTTTTCCCGGGGCTTTTAATATTAAGCTCGTCAATTCTTTTGTCCTTGTTTGACACTCAGATTATGAATTGTCTATCAAGACACCAAAACCTTTCTTTATTCTTAAAGAGAGCAGTAAGTGCCATAATATAAATTTCCGAGCTAAAAATCATGTTGTAATGTTTTGTTTTGGTTTGCAATCTATCGCGCGCTCCATGACATAAACGCGTCCTACTTCAACCATATAGGTTTGAGAGTGAAGGAAAAATTTTTTTGAAACTTTTCAGTAGGAAAAAAAATAAAAGTGTTATTCCCCCTGCCTAAGTCGGTCCGTATTGGGAGAAACTGTGCCCTCGGTCTGAATACCGCCCGAGGTCGTATATAGCCAGACATAACTAATCGATGATCAATGACATCAATTGGTAATCAATGAGTAATCGATGAGTAATCAGTTGATTAGTCACTGATTACTGGCGATGATCAATGAGTAATCGATGAGTAATCGAAGCCCAAAAATTTTGTGGCCTATCGATTACTCATCGATGACATCGATTACTCATTGGTGTAATTGATTACTCATCGATGGCCCATCGATTACTCATCGACTATTATACTGCGCACGAAAGACACTTTTCTTGCTTTGTTGTATTATTTTTCTTTTTCGTTTGGGATTCTTTTATCTGTGTTGGACGCATTTTTCCTTGTATTTGAAGATCCTGTTGACGATGTCGAGACGCAAAGTGCTAATCACAAATACAGATGATTCTCAATTGTACAGTATTTCACTTTACCCAACTCTTTATTTAATAACAAAACAACTGAACAGTAACCAACCAGTCTGAAAATGAAACTAACTAGTACGCTGACAAGAATCGACTACGTGAGTATCGATTTTTTTTGTGGGTGTTTGTCAGCAAAGTTATACTGCTTCGGCTTAGGGAAACATCCGTCATTAGCAGTTACAGGAAAAAGGAAACGAAACGAGCTGCTTCATCAACCGCAAATAAGAGGACGAAATTTTCGCATTTTCAGAAAATGGCCCTTGAGGCGGTTGTACAAAGACAGCAAGTATTCATCGCAGGGAGTTATTGAAGAATTTACAAAACTGAACAACCTTGACGGGGCAACCGTCAAGATATGGTTCAACAACAAACGGCAAAGAGATACTGGAGAACCTTCTGAACCTTAATTTCCATGTACTACTAAAGATGAAAAGAATAAACCTGGAAACATCTGTTTACATTTAAGTTTTTTTAATTTTGTTTTTCTTCGCCAAATACGTTTGCAGCCACGAGATGATATAGATGAGTAATGGATGAAATCAATGACTAAACAATGCAATCAATGACTAATCGATGCAATCGATGACTAATCAATGACCAAAGGTTTTGTGGCCTATCGATTAGTCATCGATTTCTCATTGATCATCGGCAATAATCAATGACTAATCAACTGATTACCTATCGATTACCTATTGATTACTCATTGATTTCATTGATGTCATTGATTTCATCGATTAGTTATGTTTGGATATAGGCCTCGGGCGGTACTCGAGTCCTCGGGTACAGTTTCTCCCAATACGGACCTCCCAGCCGGTGAATAACATATATATATATATATATATATATATTTATTTAATGATTGTCACATGCATGTTAAATTTTTTCAATATCATTGCATACAGTGTGTTTACCCTCCAAAAAAAAAAGAGACACATTTAACACAACTAAACTAAAAATAGGTCTCAGGTACCCCTTAAGAAAAACACTTGTAGTTAAGGGAAAAGTTCAGGGAAAAAAGCCAAAAAACCCTTAGTGTTCTGGGTACAATGTATTTTGAGATGTAACTATATATATTAGAAAGGATTACCAAAGAGAGTTTGTTAGTTCATAAACATGAAAAATAGATCTGATACTTGGAATGAAAAATCCAAATTTTATATTTAGCTATTCAGACCTGTTCGAATGGCAATGGGAGTGATGCCATCTGTCTTGTCATATGGGCAGCATTGTTTCGGATGTGCTTTTAACTGAAGCTGGAAATACATACCGTAAAATTCCAAAAATAAGCCCCTCCATGTATAAACTCTTCCAAATATAAGCTCCCCAAACTGGTAATGCAAAAAAGCATCCGTTAAACCGCCCCTCCAAATATAAGCCCCTCGTTTGGGGACCTAACGTTTTCTCGTGCGCAATAGGCACACCAAGGAGGTCACAAATACTCAAAAATTACAAAGATCGGTTTTGTATTTGTCACGACTACGCGATAAATAAAAAGTCGTCTATGATATGCAAGACCGCAGACACCTGTAAGTTGTGGACTGCTAGTCACTCCAAGGAAGAACTAAATTTTTCAAAAATGGCACAACTGGATTTTAACCCCATGGCTAAACACCTGTCAAAATAAAACTGATTCTCCCATTTTATGCCGAGTAGAGGAATGGGATGGTCCTGAAAGCTGACTTAATATCTGTTTTTGCAAAGTAAGAACCCGGCCCCAGTCGTTGAAGAATTTTAACGGCGTCATTAATCATGGCATATTGTACGGAAGAGCAATCGTCCGAAATGCTATCGTTAACTGATAATTAAGCCTTTGGGATATGACAGATGGTGAATTAGCCTAAACTCATGCATTTGGGACCTTTTTGGGAACTATGCCAACGGGCGATGTCCGAAAAACAGGAAAGGGTGGGGTGTCAAAAGGTCTTGCAATTCTTCCACTTGCGCCGAAGTCTGAGCTGAAGTTGATGCTCCGGACTTAACAGGATTTGTTCGCAGTCAGGAGCTTTGGTTTTGGCACTGGGTGGCAGGATGTTTCGCCCCGCACTTGAAGCACACGTGTTCGTATTGGCAACCTCGGCAGAGCCTCCCTGAATGAATTATAATAATAATAATAATAATAATAATAATAATAATAATAATAATAATAATAATAATAATGGAAATTATATAGCGCCTATACATCGCTGTTCTAAGCGCTTTACAATGTACAAAGGACATAAGAATATCATTAAGCACAAGCTTACATGTAACCCTACGGTACACATCTTAAAAAGGAAAGGAAAAAACAAAAACAAAAACAAAAACAGAAACAAAAAACAAAACAAAATCAAAGACAAAAACAAAATCAAATATGACGAAACTAAATGTCATTTTCTTTTTAAAAAGAAACGTTTTCAACTTAGATTTAAAAAGATTAACATCAGAACAAGCTCGAATTTCAAAGGGGAGCTTATTCCATAGTCGGGGGGCAGCAGCGGAAAACGCTCGCTGGCCATAAGTTTTCATGTTCAAATTTGGTTCTTCAAGGCGTAAATGATCCCTTGATGACCGTAATGTCCTTGCTTGATGGTAAAATTTTAAAATATCTTCAAGATATCGGGGACCGGAGCCATTCAATGTTTTAAAAGAATTACAAAAGTCCAACTTCGAGCTAACAAAACTGTGAATTAGAATTTCTGTGGTACTTGTACTGATGTATTTTCTTATTTTAGAAATATTTCGTATGTGATAGAAGGCACCCTTAACTATTGTATTAACATGAGGTGAAAGTGACATTGTGTCGTCATAAATCACGCCAAGATTGCGAGCCTGTTGAGAGGGCCTGATGTTTTCCATGCCAACAGAAATCGTAGGCGGGGGCAACGAATGACGAAAACGGGAGTACAGAAAGAGAAATTCTGATTTATCATTGTTAAGCTTTAACTTGTTGGCAGTCATCCACAAATTGATGTCAGCAACGCAGTTCTCAAGACGTTGTTTTGCAGCCACTAGATCAGAGGTGTCATTGCAAGCAAAAGATGTATAAAGCTGCGAGTCATCAGCATAAAAGTGAAACGACAAACCATGCTCACGAACAATATCACCCAGCGGAGATGTATACAATAAGTAAAGCATGGGGCCATGAAATGACCAACGGGTTCCTTTAGGAAAGAGGGGAGTGGAGGTTCGAAATCGCCCCCGCGGGGTTGCCGTCTCACTACGGGTGAAAGGTTGGGATTTGGGCCGAAAATTAGTCATGGCTCCTAGCCATATTTTTATATAGCTCCCAATAAATTTGATCTCACTGGTAAAGTTCGGGGGACGATTGTCGCAAATAGCGAACTTGCTCATCGTAGAAAATCCAGTCCCCAGACTTATTAAGCAAGGTCACGTACCACTTCGCAATATTTCATTAGCTTAGAGGCATCCTGAGATAAAATCCTGAATAAATTGATACAAACGTGTTAAAAGCGTGTGTGAAGGGGTGGCTAGGCTGATCGCCAGTCCCAATCACTGCTGGTAGGGGTGCCTGTTCAATTTTACCTTGTGTGTACGAGAGGACGTCGTTTTGTTCAACTTGCTCTACTGCGGCGGACGGCGTTGGCGTTGCCATATTGGGGGCGCTGGCTTGGTGCGCAGCCATTGCCCCCTTGACGGCTTGTGCGACGGCCACGGAAATGGTACTTGCTAGAGCCCGCATGTCCAGCTGTATCGCTCCTTGTCCTTCTTGTATCTCTCCTCCTTGTCCAGTTTGCTGTTGGGGCATCGAAGGAGTTTCCACAACTGATGAAGGTCCGGCCTCAAGGAGGTCTATTCGTAGCCGTTTTGATCGCCTGGCTTTTGGGATGGTAGCACGCTTCACAGGAGGCATTTCTCAATGATAAAAAAAAACAACTAACTATAGTGATAGATGTGATAGGCAGTGAAACAGGAATACGTTTTAATGGCAAATAAATTAGAAAAGGGGGTCATCAGAGGGGCCGATCCAAAGCAGGTATTTGAATTTACATGATAAATCGAGTGCGAAAATTGACACAAGAAAATAGTGAGGCTTATACCTCATAAGTAGTAGCGAAAAAAGATACCCATTTCCACAAAACAATAACATTAGTGCATTGACAGTATACCGAGTGCATTGGACACACCCACATTAGGCGGTCAAAATGGATTGTACACTCATAACATGGTAACTGCAAGCAAACAAACACAAATACCAAGGCCGGTAATAGGAAGGCACACAATGCACTTGTAAGGTTTCAGAAACCACAAAATTTGGCCATAGGTGGTCAGCAAAATGCGGCAAATAATTGCCGGAATTCAAAGCAAAACAACAAGCTAAAACACAAGGCGATAGCACACGTGGCTTGCTTTGAAATAAAAGCCAGATAATTAAATAGGAAATGGGCAAGTGAAAATGTTACGAAAAGTAGTTGGGCTGTTCGCCAGAACGTGCCAAGGAATGCAAAGACTTTAAAACGGCCCCCCTGAGACTTCTGTAATACTTATAGTGCCCCAGCTTATTAAGGTGAACACCATCACGAACGAAATATCTCTGCGAAGTATTCCAAAAACCTCTGTGACCCCCCAAAAAGCAATAGGGAATTGGCTCTAAAAGTACCTTGGGATATTTCATAAGAAATTGAACACGTGTGTTAAAAGCTGCATCATTTTCGCTATTAAGCGTTTGGCAAACACAAATTTGGCGCACATTGTGCTCTATTGCCGAAGCTGCGACTGAGGGATCTAGGTGGGAAAGATCGTTAGTTCCCAACTGTAGTATCACAATATGGGGGGCAAACGACTCCACCAGATGGAGATCACAGGGAATAGTTTTTTCAACTGTTCGACCCCCCACACCATGCCATTTAAACTGGGCGGCCTCGTGTAAAGGAAAACGATGATCAAGATGTGTACTATCAGTAATAAAGTTATTTAAACGGCATCTCACTGATGTTAAAAAACTGAATATAGAATGTACGAAAAAATGGCAGCGAAAGCGCTAAGTCGGTTACAGAGATAAATGTTATGGAGATGGTAAAAGATAATAGGACTTGCCTGACAAGAAAAAAATTTTTGCCGCAGGGAAGTAATCGCCATGATGGTGAAAGCAAGAGGGAGCGAACGCGGAAATGCATGCTCCTTTATACGAACACTCCCTTAGGGCGATAGAAATGATTGGCTCTTGAAAGAGAGGTTAAATTGATGCGAGTCGGAAGACCAACCATGTAGACCACAAAGGCATATTGTATCGACATAAATAACATTATGCCTTAACATAATGTTTGGTATTGTAACGAACTTTTAGTTTTAGTTTCATTTTTCTTTTAGCCCCTGAAGAAGATTTGTTTTCAAATCGAAATATTGGGCACTTATAAAATATATATTATTGTTCTATTCTTTTGTTTACTTCTTCATCGCCTTACCGATAGGATCAGTTTGCCATTTCATAATTTTCTACAAGTTTAATTGTACTGATCCAGGTCTACAACTGGGAGATCCGGCACCACTCATTGGTTTGTTACTGTGGACTTGCTGACATTTTATATATTCATTATCAGCCTGCTTCTTAAAAACTTTTTGACAGCCCTGAAAATCACACAAAAAGTTATTATGGTGATTTCAGCACAGAATTGACTTAAAACAGTCATACTCTCGTGACATACATGTAGCCCCTTAATTTAACCAGAAAGCCAATTCCAAGTTGTTTGACAGATGAGAATAGTAAGATCTCTGAAAATCTGCAAACACATATTAACAATGGTAATTACTGGGCTGCCTGTGGCACAGCCTGGTTATAAAATGTGCTCCGTTTTTCCTTCTGGCACAAATCGCACTCTGGCGTGTTCAGCGCGTGCGCAGAAGATAAGAGTATGCGTAGAATAGGTCACCGGACTTCAACAGGGTACATCCCGAGGAGCTCAAAGCGACTCAAAGCTATCAGCAATCTATCTTCGGTGGAAGCATACGAATGCAAAGATACGAATGTAAACGCTGTTCATGTAAAAGATGGCAAGAGTACATTTTTGAAGTGGTATAGTTCATCAACTATACTATGCGAGAGACCCATTTACAAACGAACTCTTCCGAGTGAATCTTTTATCGAGAAACCTTGTACACTAAGTGTGCTTCCTACTGAGTTAGAAGCGCTAAAAGAATCACCCGAATGAACTGTTAAAACTCGAACTGTTCGGTACGTAAACGTTACGAGCAACTGGATCATTGAAATTCAACGGTGTTTTTGATCAACGCAACAGCCTTGTGGAAGAATTCAGTACTTGAATAGCCAGCCTTAGGGTAACAATATCTTTCACTGATTTTAGTTTTTATCATCATTTATGCAATTATTGTAATCGCGTATTTAGTGAACAATCTTTTAATGTCGAATGTAAATGTTTATACAGAGGCTGTTGTTATTTCAATGCATTAGATAAAAAAAATGAATTGACCGGAAATGTTTACAACGATCCCGAGGTAACAAAAAATGTGAAAGAAGATATAAGATCTCGCTATGCAAAGTATGTTTTCTTGCTAGGAAAGATAAACAGTGTGATCGTGAGCCTATTCCTTTTGGGCCTTTTTACTGACCGAAATGACGCATTTTCCTACCCTTTTTATATACTTCAGCTAGTGAAATCCCTACCCTTTTTTATACCTGAAGCCTAAAAAAGGTACCCCTTTCGCGCGGAGCCTCCCTATATAGGCCATTATATGGAGTACCCCCCGGGATAAAGAGCGCCATATAATGACCTCCGGAATGAACACTCTTATCTAATGCACACGCTAGCCTGTGTGCAGACGTCCCTTCCATGATATAGTTCAAAAAATTGAATGAGTTCATTTTCATCCGGTCGGTTCGCAGTGTATAAAATCAAATCTTATAAAAATACTGCTGATAACAAACTAAAGAAAACTTTTCTTGGCTTATAAACTCTTCACGTCGAACCAATTTGGTTTAGTTTAGACAATTTAACTCTGTGCGGCCGCTCTAACTACAGCCCAATGGTATTGCACGCGTTTGAAGAAAATTTCAGATGCGCTGAAGCTTTTCTCTTACGAACTGGACGATTTTTTTATTGTTTTCCTCAAGAATAGAGTCAAGCTGTCAGCAAAACAAACAAAGTTCAGATAAACTAGAGATACCGTGTGGCATGAGATTTTTCGGGTTCTAATTTTTGCGAATTTTCCAGGGATCGGCAAAAATATAAGTTCCCGCAAAAAAAATAACGCAAACATTTTTCCCGCAAAAATTTTTTTCAGAGCTGAACATACTCTGACTAAAAATGTGCTACGCAAAAATACAGTACTAAGAAGTCGTGTCTGTTCAATTTCACATCGCCTCTTTCATTCAGAAACAAAGTGGTATACAATGAATTACTTGTTTTACATAATGTGCGCATACCGTAGTACTGTTTGAAAATACACCCTGATTACACGTACTTAACAAGAACGAAAATGTTATCAATGCTGGGTACTGGGTACTTTTTGAAAATCGCAAAAATTAATTCTCTAGTCTAGGTTTTATGGCAGCCCAGTACACAACTTCTGGTGCCTAGTTTTGTGCAAAAAATTGTTGGACCACGAGGATTGCGGTCCAATAACATTTTCCATTGATACATAGAATTTATTTTGTTATTCAAACCACCATAAAGTCGCACTGTAAGGAGTGGAAAACCTCCCGCTAGTGTTATCTCTGAGGATGAGTTTGAAATGCATAATGATGATAATGATGATGATCCTCATCATAATTTGACCTCTATGGCAGAGATGTAAGGGAATGTGGGTAGTAATAATAATAATAATGCTTTAATCGTCCTTTCCCCTTTGTGCTTTTTCAGGGATAATGAAAGAAATAATTTAAATGAAACATAAAATGGTTCAAAATCCCAGCTGGTGGGAGGCGAACCTGTTGGCTGTTTTACAAGCGGGGCCAAGAATTTGAACTCGGGACTCCCGTGAACAAATCCAGCTAGCGGTCACAGCGGGACTTGAACTCGGGGCCTCCGAATTGCAATTCCAGAGCTCTAGCCACTCGTCCACGGATTCATAAAGGCTTGGAATATTACAATTTTGAGATAACTACTCTGCCTACTTATTATAGGTGATAACCCATGTAATTCAAGTACCAATGGAGGATGCAGCCATTTATGTTTATTGAACGCGCGTGGTCATTCATGTGCCTGCCCAACTGGGATGAAGCTTCTTCAAGACGCCAGAACATGTGAGCAAGGTAAGATTTGTTTCATGTTATCCGATCATTTGGATATTGCAGTTTGTATCGTTATCACGTTACTACTACAGTCTGAAACACAGGTACATTTTTCAGGTGAGAGAGCATTTAGTGGTAGAATCTTACATGTAATCACCATCTTTTATTTTCAAAGAAGAAGAAGAAGAACACTTTAGCTGTTCTGTTCTGTTCTACTAATTTCATATACCCAGCAACCTGAAATCTTATTGACAGCCCTGACTACCTCTAAGAGCACAACTTTGCAGTTAGTTTTTAACTTAACTTTATTAGCGGAGCTCTGACGCGCGCGAAGCGCGCGCACCGGAGCACCATGGGAAACAAAATTTGGTTATGACGCAGCGTACGCCTAGCTGGCAAGTAAAGTTTTTTAGGGAATTCAAATTACAGAACAACTGTAATCAGTCCCATTCATAAAAAAAATCGGGGCTAGTCAAAATGGCTTTTAGGCTAGTGTATGCTAGGCAAGCTGTAAAGCTGACTTTCTTTGCACCCTGAACAAAATATAATTAAAAAAGTAAGTCTCTTTTCTACTGCTTTGTGAGAGTCCAACACTGAAAGACATTTCAAGTAACTAAGATCAATACAGGTAGGTTGCAGGGAGAAAAAAAAAAACAGTTATTGCCGCCACAACATTAATCCAAATTTTCTGGTAGTTAATACAAGCCTATGTAATACAAGCCGATGTACAAAGCCTAAATTGAAGCTTTGTAGATCGAAGGTGTGAACGAGGATATTAGAGCTGCTTCGCAAATGTTACTAACCAGGGTTAGAATACACGTGCAACACAAGCTACCTTGATATTTAATGTTCAAAATATTAGGTAGCTGAGATTTTTGAAGACTAATGTAGATGTCTTCAAGACTGAATTAACTTATGCTACAACATCGTAGTGTTATCAGTAGATTTTGATTTTGTATATGTTGTAGTTCATTTTTATTTCTCTTATTTTTTTATTTTTCCATCGTTTCTGGGTATGGTTATGTATGCTAATGAATTGAAAACAAAGCAAAACCAAAAATTAACCGAAATTAAAAATTAACTGCAACATATTCACTAACATGTAACTCACCTAAATGTCACCTTTTTCTCTTTAAGTCGCCTAAAGTCGCCTTAAATCGCCTTAAGTCGCGTAAAATTACGGCGACTTAAGGTTCCAGGGTAGGCCTCTCAACTTGCCCTGATTTTCATTTCGAGAAAACAGGGGAAAAAGATTTTTGGCGGCGTATTACCCGTGACGAGATTATAACAGATTATAACACCAAAGCTGTCAATGTTGATGCATACCAGAAAAGAGACAACAATAGTGACACAGCAGGGAAAGGTTACAAACGAAACCCGACAACAGATGAACAATTTATTTCAAAGGGTCTGCTCTGTTCGATCCCTCCGTTGTCGAGAAAGCGTCTTTAGTTATTTGCGAAGGGCAGTTTTCATTTTGAGCCAAGCCAACTTTTACTCGATACATTTTCTAAAGTTCGACACTTCCCTGGAAAAATTGACAACAAACCGCTTCCTGGAGTTTTTCTTGAAGCTGCTCTCCAGCTACAATAGACTTTCAAAAAAGTCTTTAGTCCGATTTTTATATGGCGCGGGACCTGTCACGAATTTGTCGCTCGCTTGGCCGCTACGCGGCCTAAAAAGCTCGCTCCACTCGAAGAAACTCATGAAACTTGATTTCGCGGTACTTTCAATGGGTTTTTCAGAAGCTTTGTCACCTTTTAGCTATTTTTCTTGTTTGT